GTCTGGGCTGCAGGGTGACAGCAGCAAGAGCCATAGAAAATTTTCTACTGCAGGACTCCCTAGATGCCTAGAAATAATTTGAATGGGAATCAGTGAATGGGTGCCTTCAGTCCTCACTTCTGCCTTCAAGCACCTCTATCTCTTATCATGCTAGACGTGTGGCAGCCTTGGAAACCAAGCAAAAGCCCAGCACTTCCAGGAGCCAGGCACTGACCCAACAAGACCAAGTCATTGCTGAGCGCCTAGCACGACTCCGTCAGGAGAACAAGCCAAGTGAGTGGAGGCAGACAGGGTAGCCAAAAGGACAGTCTAGAAATTCTGAGATTGAGGTTCCTCTGGCCCTTACCTGGCTTCCCCTATGCTAATTGCAGAGTCAATACCCTCACAGGCAGAGATAGAGGCACGGCTGGCTGCACTGAAGGATGAAACCCAGGGTTCTATCCCTTCTGTCCAGGAGATGGAGACTCGGCTTGCTGCCCTTCAGGGCAGGGTTCTGCCTTCTCACACCCATAGACTGGTGAGTGCTAAGGCTTGGGAGGGAAGGGATTCCTAGGGAAAGGATCCAGAAGAAGCTCAGATACATGTATGATCATATACTTTACAGGAATTGATAAAGCCTCCCACCCCTACCTCCTGAGCCTCAGGCCTGCTGCCAGGCCAAGGAACAAGGGACAAGCAGCAAGATTGAGTGGGTCAGAAAAAAGTGGACACAGTCCTGTTGGGGACTGCCAGACCTACTTGATTAAGACAAACCTTTGCCTGGTCTTTGAGAACTCCTCAGCATCCACCCCTGATCCAGGATACTTCTAGGCTTTATGTGGCTTTTACCTTACTCCCACTCCCCACTGAGGTTCCCTCCTCTGGGCAGGAACATCTGACAGCAGACACCAGGACACAGGATCAGCAGACACAAGATCTGCTAACACAGATGGCAGCTGAGGTGGCTATCGATGAGAGCTGGGAACAAGAAGGTCCAGGTAACCCCTCTACTTGGCTCCTCCAGGAACATGCCCCATCTCTTCCCCCAAATGGGAGAGGCTCTGCTATCCACTCTCTGGAGATGAATATAAAGTAAAGAATGACCAACATCATAAGAACTATCATTTATTGAGTATTTACTCCAAAGGGAGCTAGTGTAGGCCTAGTGTTTAAGTGCATGGGCTTTAGAATCAGACAGTGATCCCCATTTCTACCACATACTAATTGTGTGATCTTGGGCAAGTTATTTGACCTAAATCTCACTCTCATCATATGTAAAATGGAGGTATGTATGGTAAAAACCTACCTTACAGGGAAGTCAGGAGGAGCAAATGAGATAATTCAATAGTTCTTGGGACCGTACCTGGCTCATAATATAAGTGTTCATTGAGTGTAGTGAGTGTTCTCTATAATGATGATGATATGAAAGAAGAGGCTATTCAAAATTAAATATAATTTAAAGTTCATTTGCTTAGTGTTACCAGCCGTATTTCAAGTGTTCAATACCCACATGAGCTCATGGCTACTACCTTACGGGATACATAAGGGACATAATATACACTGTTTCCTTCATCATAGAAAATTCTTTTGGACAGTGTTTTCTGAAAGCTTCAGAGAAGTAGTTCTCAACCATGGATGATTTTACCCTCCAGGGTACTTTTGAAAATGTCTAAAGACTTTTTGGTTATCACAACTTGGGGGATATTATTAGCATCTGGTGGGTAGAAGGCCAGGATTCTATAAGCCACATCCTGCAATGCATAGGTTAGCCTCTCTACCACAACAAAGAATTATCTGGTCCAATGTGTCAATAGAACTAAGACTGAGAAACCTTGCGTACAGACATAATTTCATGGACCAACCTCAATAATTTTGAGATATATACTATTATTGCCCATATGTAAATGAGGAAACTCAGGCATGGTGAGCTTAAGGAACTTGACCAAGGCCACATAACTCTTAAGTGGCAGGGATGGGCCTTGTACCCAAAGCTGTCTGGTTTCAAACCTCTTGCTCTGAAACTCTAGGCTAAAGGTGATCATGTCAGAGCCACACCCACTCTGGTAAAGTTCTTCCTACCCAGTGATATATAAAATCTCAGCTTCAGTCGTGCCTTCTTTGTGCTGCTCCCAGGGAAGTCTAATTCCTGCCCTGAATGGCAGAAACTGGCTAAACTTTAGCCTCCTCATATCCTAATCCTTTAGGGCAGTGATTCTGAAACCATGGGACATCCAGCCCATACATATCAGTGGAGTGGGGATGGATGTGGTTGAAAAAATATGTCCAAGATTGATAATTTTTAACATTTGAAAAATTGGAGGAAATACTAATCTTATTTGTAATATAAGTCACATGTGTTAGGGCTGAGCACAAAGCTGATAATGTATAGTTTTAAAAAAGTTGAGAAATGGGCTCAGTGACTTATGGGGGAGAAATCTTAGAATGCCTCTTCTTCCCTGACTCCATTACTTCTTCCAGCTGCCTCTCTCCAGAATGACCTCAACCAGGGTGGCACAGGAAGCCAGCACACTAATTCCCAAGGGCAGGCCAGCTGGTCCCTGGAGAAGGAGAAGACCAGGCTGCTGGCTGAGGCAGCAGTTGAGCTACGGGAGGAGAATACAAGGCAGGAACGGATCCTGGCCCTTGCCAAGCGACTGGCTGTACTGCGGGGACAGGACCCTGACAAAGGTAAAGGCTGGAGTCAGCTGCTCACTAGTGTCTGTTGATCACAGCCTTCCCCTGCACTCAGGCCAAGCTCTCCTTCCCAGGGCTAAGTCAGGTGCTAGAGGTCCCTATGCCCAGAGATCTGTTGAGCCTTGCCCAGAGCCATGAGGAATGAACTGGGGCAAAGCAGTAGATGAGGAATCAGTGGCAGCCATCAGGAGGTAGGGGGACCTTCAGTCCTTTCAGGTGCTGAGGTTTCTTTTCCTGCCCTGCTCCTTAAGGCTGCTTCATTAGTGGTCCAGCCTTGTAGGGTTGGGACAGGGAGGGACAAGTTCTGAACAGGGTAGCTAATGAGGCTCCTCAGCTCTGGAACAAACCCTGGGAAATGAACCATTTCCAGAAGAGGACAGTAGTTTAGGTGAAATCTCTCATCCTCACTCTTCCTCCCATTTCCATCTCTCCCTCATTCAAGTGACCCTTCAGGACCTCCACCTCCCAGACAGTGATGATGAGGAGGATGAGGAGACAGCCATCCAGAGAGTCATGCAGCAGGTAGGCCTGGCTTACCCATCCAGCCACCCCTGTCCTGTTTCTGCCTCATTGCTGCTTGGCCCCATTCACCTGGCCTCCATTCTGGGGTAGCCATTCTGCAGCTCCTGTTCAAGTTGGGGTCCTTGTGTCCCTGTGACCCAGATTTGCCCCTTGGCCCCCTGAGATGGGGAATCAGCAGCCATAGGCAAGAAGTAAAGGAAGAAGAGTTGAGAAGCCAAGGCTACAGCACAGAAATACTGGGAGAAGGGCCTGGAGCAGAGAGTAGTATCCTTTCACCTGTTCACAGCTCACTGAAGAAGCTGCCTTGGATGAGGCAAGTGGCTTTAACATCCCTGTGGAGCCAGCTTCCCGACCCCAGGCCCCACCCTGCAGAACAGAGCCTAAGGTGAGAAAAGCCCATAGCCTTCCTTCCTACCTGGCTGATTGCTTCTATCATGTATCTTACTTCCTGTATTCCTCTCTGGCCCCTGAAGGCCCAAGTCATGGCTCCCAGGCCAGAGACTAAGGAAGAAGAACTTCCCTGGTGCTGCATCTGCAATGAGGATGCCACCCTGCGATGTGCGGGCTGTGATGGAGACCTCTACTGTGCCCGGTGCTTCCGGTGGGTACAGGTAGAATGTTCTGTGGAAGGGCTCAAGGGTTGCCTACAATCCCTAATCTGCATCCCTTTGCTCCACAGGGAGGGCCATGATGCCTTTGAGCTTAAAGAACACCAATCATCAGCCTACCGTCCCCCATATACTGGCGGACAGTACTGAGGAAACCCGACCCTCCTGGAAAGGTGGTCCTATAGACATCCTGCAGGCTGGCAGTGATGCCCTGAGGACATCAATGAGACAGCA